TGATATTTATTACTCAAATTTCTATAATTTCAATATTTTCAATCCATATAAAAACTGTCAAGATTATAAAAAAATTACAGGAATTAAAAATAGAATTTGATAAAATTATAAGAAACAATAATTGTATTTTCTCAAAAAAAATATTTTCATACTTTTTTAAAAGTTAAAAATTGTTTTAAAAAAATTATGGAATGAAAATTTTTTTGTGAAAATGTTTTCAGAATATTGTGGGGAGTAAATTTAGCTAAGTAACTCGTGCTAGTTTTTCAAACTTGCGTTTGGCTTTCTCAGTCATCCTACTTTGCTTCCTTGTCTTGCTTTTCCAGAGTTCAGAGCAGGTTGGGGAGAGAAAGGAGAAGGAATTTCTTGGCACAGTGAGTTTTTATGAAACATTTGTATAAAAGAATTACAAATTATAAAAATCAAAAGCCTTTTTTATTATATATAATATAAATAACTTTTAATTCACTAAATTGGTTTTAAAAAAGTATATATTTTATTATAACTAATCTATATTAAAATAATTTTTAACAAACTAGTAGGTTTTAACTATTGAAATATTAAACGGGGGATACAACGTTTTCCGTTTGATTTGTTATTGGAATGGCCGAACATTACCTCCACTCCAGCTTTTTGGCGGGAAATCTCACGAAACACGTGATCATGTGAAAAGAAGAAGTAAATTAAATCAAAATTCAATTTTTGCAACACTGAAATTTTCATATGTCTGCGATTCGAGTCAAAGGTTTTCAAAAAAGAAATATATGCCATAAAAATTCAACGAATCAGCCAGCCGATCCTGAAAACCGGGGAAAAATCGAAATTTAAAACTGAGTGTTGAATGGTCACTGCTGACTGCTAAGCCGACCAGTGACTACATCACGAGATCCGCACTCCGAAATCTTACTATAGTTCGGACACAATGTTTTTTTTTTTTTTTAAGTCTGATTTGATATTTTATAATATATAATATTTTGAGGAAGTTAATGATTGATTAATGATTTATCTTTTAAAATTATTTTTTATTATTTTACTGTTTAAATATCTTTTCTCTCTCCCGACTAAACGAAAGGTGTTTTTAGAGGTTACTTTCTCATTCTTAAATTATAAAATATTTTTAAATAAATTTTTACATATTAATAAAATTTATTAAATATGTTTTATAATTTTATTTTTTTAAAATAAAAGTATAAATTTTTAATAATGTTGTCATTTAATACTATATTAATAAATAAATATTAAAAAAATTCATGAAAAGAGTAATAATAAAAAATATCATTAATAAAATCTTATTTTTATTAAAGTATTTTATATTTTGAGACACTAAATCTTTCTTAAAAGTGTTTTATAATTTAAGATGGATGGAGTATTAATTTACTCTCTCTCCTATCATAAACCCGTAATTGATTAAAAAAGTTCTTTCATTAAAAAATATAACTCATTTTAATCAAATATCGTCACTCAATAAAATAATTATTTATTTTTAAATTAACATCATCTTTATATATTTATTTTTATTTAATAAAATATGTTACTCTAATATAAATATAAAATAATTTATTCATTAGGAAAACTTAAACAAAAAATAATAATTATACTTTAAAATATTAAAAATATCTTACACTTTTAAACATCCAACTTTTTCAAATATATCTCACATTTTTTTAATGAAAAGAGTGATACTCCAACTGATGGGGAAATGATTGCATGAATGTGCCATAAGATGATAGGAATGGTCACAGCTAAATAGTGCCATTTTTATCGTTTTGTTCAAGCTTCTCTTGCCTTGTGTCACAAAAAAAAAAAAAAAAAAAGGAAATGCCAATTAGGGAGCTATAATGACAATTACAAATAATAAATTATTGAAATTTCAATAAGTGATCATAATTTTTACTTAAAATAAATTATTTTTTGTCAATGGACTTAAAATTCACAATAATTTTTTGTAAATTCGCAACATACATTATAAAGATTTTCAAAAATGTTTGATCAATTTTCCATGCAATTTATATTAATATGTTGATGGTAAAAAAATTATAAGTAATTGGTTTGTGATTCATAATTAAGTTTCATAAATTTTAACTAACATTATAAATAATCTCACATATATTTTCTTAATTTCTCAAGTGATTTATTTGTATATTGACATTTGATAAAAAAAAATGAGGTTCACAATGGACCCTTGTAAATTATTAATTGATGTTACAAATAATTTTAAATATATTTTTTTAATTTTCTAATTGGCTGCTTTCATTTTATAATTATAAATAAAAATTATAGTCAATAATTTAAAATTTTTAATTATCATTAATACCCTTATAAGGTCACTAATTGTCATTTTGCCTTAAATTATCTCTTAAAGAGATATCCAAGTACTTTAAATTAAATTACCAAAACGATGTCCAGTTGTTGGAGAATGAAGAGGCTTTGGGCTAAAGTCTAGAGGATAAGTAGATAACAACAGCAAAACATAAAAATACGGTATATAACTCAACGAATAAACGAAGGACAGGTGTCGTCAGATCACACGCTTATTTTCATAAATGGCTGTCCTATCTCACACAACCCGTTGTTCTACTCCTAATTCTCCCACGTGGCGTCAACTCATTTTTGCTCAACCCTCAAATGCTCATTTAGTTACCACTCCCATTTCAAATATATTTAAAAAAATCAACTCACATAATATAAAAAAATAGTTAAATATAATAGTTATATTTGAAATTAAAATTTTAAATAAATTATCCTTACAATTAATAAAATGAATTTGTTTTATGAAAATAAATATTAACTTTATGAAAAATAATTTTAAAAATATAATAAATGGCTAAATGTTTATTGAAATTTGACATATTGTTTATAAGAGAAAGAGGCACATGGACGTGACATTTTTTTTTTTAATAAAATACGGGGAGTATGTTATCAGGTATACTATCATTGTACACATTGTAAAATATTTTACAAGTTATTATTGGTTGAAAATATAAAATATTTAATAAATTTAAGAAACTTATATCTTTCTATTTTGTTCATGTATTAGTTATTGTGTTCAGTGATTATGCATGTGAATTGTGATATTAGTTCACTTAGCTGTGAACGAGGATAACTAGTACAGGATACCACTTTTAATATTTTTATGAAAAGTCCATATTTTTAACCCTGTTGTTAATGACAGACAACTTTAATCAATCAATATTGTTAGAAATATAATGCGTTGTTAATGTGAATGTGTGATAATAAGGTGGTGCTATATCTAGTAATAATAAGGACTTTGAAAAAAAATCACAACAATCACAGAAACTAATTTCTCAGTAAAAAAGTATCAAGACATTGATATAAGTTGATCAAAATTTTAGAGACAAAAACTATACTTCCTCCTCCATTAAAAAATATAATATATTTTTTTTAAAAAAATTGAATGTTAAAAAATATAATATATTTTAAAATTCCTTTCATATAATTTAAAATTCTTTTTAAATTTTTGTTATTTCAAATTTTCACATACACTTGCCAAAAATTATATAATAGTAATAACTTTTGCTATTTAAATTACATATAATGCCACGTACATACTCCGAATTGTCAAGAATGTCACCGAATTGTCAAAGCATTAAAATAGAGAAATAGATTCTATTTTGGGTAATCACAAATCTTCCGCGTTCCAATTTCGCACGATTCACTTATTTCGATTACTTTTTTGAATGTGGAATTTGACCGAATAAACAACAATAAAGCACGACCATATCTGGGTTCTTTGTAATCCAAAAATGTAGATTTCTCGCCACGTTCACAAAACGCTAAAACGTCAACTATCAAAGTAGAACTATCCAGTTCTTTATACTCCTCCAAACTATTGCCCTTCACAAACCACGTCACCTTCTTATCTTTCGTCTAAATACAAAGTCTTTCAAGCTGCTTCTCGTATATGCTTCTTGTATTACAAAATATTTTTAGTATATAAAAATATTATACACACCCACATAGACTATCGTCTCTTAATCATTTTGATTTGAATATGAATTAAAAAATAAGGCATTAAAATGGGAAAAATAATTAATGTGGCATATAAAAAATATTGAGTCATTATATATTAAAAAAAAAATGAAAATCTTCAACAAACTCCTTTATCTAGGACCGTATGATGTATTATTAAATGAAATCTTATATCAGGACGAGATTTTGAATTAAGGGCACGAGACTAATTATTTCTAATTGGACCCATTTTTATTGAATTTATTACGCATCATTATTTAACAAAATCTTTAATTTTTAACATAATAATTATTTTTCATTTGATTTTTTTATTTTATATATACTAAAAATAACATAATTAATTCTTCAATTTTGAAATCCCCTCATACTTGTAACCTTTTCGTTGGAGGTTGATGAGTGAAAGAAACACCTAATCAGCTCCTAAAAGGAATATCATTATTACCAAAAAAAGAAGAATAAAGAGCCAAAAAAGTGTATTTAGTCGTCACGTGTCACAAAACTATGCTCCCACCCCAATAGCTTTCTGCTCTTTCCATACCGCCGGCCTAACTTTCTTTCTCTCCCCTGGACACGTGCCCTTCCTCTGTGCCGACGTGGTTCAAACCCATGCGTGAAAAACACACGGCTCACTAAAGCTTCTAGAACCCTCCTCGCTCACCGACACGTGTCCCCACTAACTTGTCACTCACTTTTCTTTCAACCTTTTGCTTACGTAGCATTACGTCACAGGTGATCGGGGGGTTTAATTGGTTTAACGGCTGACATAAGGGGAAATTCCCGATTAAAAAAAAAAAAAAAAACGGGCGGCAATTCACCGTTTGCCCTTGACTAGTAGTATACTCGTATCAGATAAGGTCGGTCACTTGGTGGCGTCGTACTTTTGCAATTTGGGTACGTGGCAAGCTATAACAAGCTAATAACTCCTGTGGGGCCCATCCGCTACGGCGGGACAAAGATGTCCGTACTTATCTTGCTGCGCGTGTCCCTATATAAATAACGACCACATCCTTCGCATTGTTTGAGAGAAAAATAAAAATAGGAGGGGGGAAATTTTTTGGAAGAGTTCGAGCTTCTTCATCGTGTGTTTGAGAATGGAAGTTCCGGCGACCGACCCGCTTGCCCAGCTTAGTTTGCCTCCTGGTTTTCGGTTTTATCCTACCGATGAGGAGCTTCTGGTTCAGTATTTATGCCGGAAAGTAGCCGGCCACCATTTCTCTCCGCAAATTATTGGCGACATCGACTTGTACAAGTTCGACCCATGGGTTCTACCGAGTAAATACCCATTTCCATAACTCTAAAGTTTTAATGAATCCGTTGTTGTTTCTATTATTCTTTGTCTAAATTGATTGTGTTTGATATCGATTACTCAGGCAAAGCGATTTTCGGTGAGAAAGAATGGTACTTTTTCAGCCCAAGAGACAGGAAGTACCCCAATGGATCTCGTCCGAACAGAGTGGCCGGGTCTGGGTACTGGAAAGCCACCGGAACCGATAAGATCATTACCACCGAAGGCCGGAAAGTTGGCATAAAAAAAGCTCTCGTTTTCTACGTAGGCAAAGCACCCAAAGGCACCAAAACCAATTGGATCATGCACGAGTATCGTCTTCTCGAAAATTCCAGAAAGAACGGTAGCTCCAAGGTACAATCCATCACATATCCGCATGCTCTGTTTTTTTGGAGTGAGAATACTCTGTTTTTTGTTATTGAAACGTTTCTTGTTCCTGTTGGATTCTGTGACGATGCAGCTCGATGACTGGGTTCTATGCCGAATATATAGGAAGAGCTCGAGCGCACAGAAGAATATGCTTTCAAGCGTTTCGAGCAAAGAATACAGCTACAGCAACGGGTCTTCTCCCTCATCAACGTCCCACTTGGACGACATGCTTGAATCATTGCCAGAGATCAAGGACAGAAGCTTCATCCTGCCGCGTGTGAACTCGCTTAAGGCACTTCCTCAAGATGAGAAGCTGAATCTTGTCGCCGGAAATCCCATGGACTGGGCTAACCCGGCGGTACTAAACTCAGCACCCAACCTCGTCGGGTCTCAGGGGATTCTAAATTATAACCCCGGAAATGACCTTTGTGTCTCTTCCATCTCTCAACTCTGCCACATGAACTCGGCGGCCCCGGTGCGCTTGGAGAAGCTTGGGAACTCAATGGAAGATGAGGTTGAGAGCGGCGTCGGAACCCACCGGGTCGAGTGTTCGGGCGGGCACTTTCAGCACAATTCGTTTGGGTTCACGAGTCAGGGATTCTCGACCAACTCCATTGACCCGTATGGATTCAGATACCCGAGCCAGTCGATCGGGCTCGGATCTCAACAGTGAATAGATTCAAAATAGAGTGCATTCGGTTGCTGTAAATACTTGGGGATTCTTTGGGCTAGCTGACGGGTAGATTATCATTGGGTTGAATTCCAGAAGGGGAAGGCGTGAAAATTTGAATTTTGGTCGTTGTTTTCGCCTCTCGGCAATATCAAGGAGAAAGTAGGGAGTTGAGGATATTCAATGAATATTTTAGTGACTAAGCAGCAATAATTGATATTGTAACATTCAATCTGAAAAATTATTTTGTTAGGTTTGCAAATTTTGTCTGCAACTAGTAGCGCACTCAGCCACATTAATCATATGTCGTGCTTGGTCATGTCAATCAACATTTGCTTTTGGTGGCAAATATTTTTGGTCTTACTTGAATTTTGAGGCATGTATGGGTAAATTTTTGATACTTAACTCACTCAAATTTTTATTGCAAAAAAAAAAAAGATAAGAAGAAGAAGAAGAAATGTTTAGAGTAAAGATAATGAATTGCAATCATGCATCTGTAGATGTCAAATTAATGAGTTGTGAATGACGCTGGACCAAAGAAGGTTCATGGACGAAAATTCTTTTTACATTTACTCATGTGAGTTTAAGAAAAATGAAGGAGGGTGTTGAAAAACAGTTGTTAGTTAATTATAATTATTAGTTTAAGTCTATATACCTGTGTGTGTGTGATTGAAAGGTAGGCATTTAGATGGGGAGGTATGTCATGTTAACCTCACTTCACCCCATGTGAGAATTAATTCTCATTACTTTGGTTAAAGGTAAGGGCGGGCAAAATTAAATCAAAACTGAAAATTAAATTAAATTAAATTAAATTTTATTTATTTGGTTTGGTTTATTTAATTTTTTAATTTGATTTAATTTTTTTTAAAGAAAAATTTTGGTTGATCAATTTGATTTCATTTAAAAAATTTTAACCAAATAAATCGAGCTGATCAAATTATACATATTTTATTTTTATATTTTTAAAATATGAATAAATTTTCATTCAGGTGAATAATAAATACTTTTCTACCACTTGCAGTGGTAGTATTTTCTTTGTTTAATATGATATTCTAATTTTTTATTTATATAATTTAGTTTTTAATGTAATAATATTGAGTTTTACTAATTTTTTCATGAATTATAATATACGATTATTTTTTTTGTTAGGCCTTCAATATCAAGAAAAAAAAATTGAATAGAAGAATATATAAATAATTAGATTTTATAGGCTAAAATCAAAACTCATGAAATATTAGTCTTAACAGTGGGTGAAGGGAAAAATTAGTGGAATCGAAAGTTCCGGACGACATGCATGAGCGCATGTTTAAAGAAAGTCGGGGGGCTTTGGGGAAAATTAAAGGCTTAATCAGATATTAAAACCATTGCAATTTTCTTTTTCTTTTTCTTTTTATATGATTAGTCAAATTTGAGTATTATCAGGTCTATTTTTGCATGGGCTCGAATTCAATAAATCATTCTCAAATACTCATAATTTCTTTTATCAGAACTAACGCCTATAATTGAAATCACTGCAATTTTCTTCAAAGCCTCAAGTTCAAAAAAAGAAAGAAAAAAAAAAGGATGACCAATTGTTTAAATCATACCATAATATACATGATAGCCGTTTACCACGTTGGAAAAAGCAATTGAATGAGGCAGTTCATTTTTCAATAGTTTTTTTTTTCCTGATTAAAGACATCTTTCACGTGAAATTTATTCGTTAAGAAAACTATTCATTTAAATCCATTAATATTTATTTGATTTAAAAAATACAAAATTTTTTGGCAAAAAATATATATATTTAGAACAAAAGCATGTGCTTGTAGCACTAAAAGGATATATTGAGTAAATTAAAACACAAAATTATGAAGGTCGTGTTCTTATATCTTCTAAAGATGTTTTTAGAAAAATATAAATTAAAATGTAAAATAACTAATATCATTTAGTTTTTTTTTTTAAATTACTTGTTCATGAAAACTCTTATGTCTTTCCAAGCAAATTGGGCTAACCTGGAGGGGGGAAAAAAAAAAAGAAAGAAATGATGCAAACACAAGTTGCTGGAGACTTGGGCCAAGACAACCTACTAATACGGGCCTTGGGTAAATTAATGCCTCTTTCTTTGCTCTGCATCATTTTGTTTTAACAAACGATTTTTTTTTTTTAAAAGATGGATTTGAATTTTTTTTAAAAGGAGAAATATTTCTGCATATAAATGAACATAAAATTGATGGAACTGGATCTGTATAAAAAAGAGTGTATTTGTAAAAATCAACAATTTAGTATATGTTCATTGGGTCAATAGAGATTTGAAAACCGTGCATGTTTTTTTTTTTAGACTTTATGACTTATTTAGTAGCATGTTAATTAATCAGGTCCTTGGGATGATGGTGGTTAATTAAAAAATAAAAATAAAAAACTCAAAAGACAAACAAACAAATAAATTCTTTTATAGCTTAGGAGCACATCGTCATTTGTGACATGTTCAATTCTTTAAATTGTTTCTTTAAATATTTTGCTGCATACCTATAAGACTATTGTATCTAGCTTAATTTATAGTGGAATTTAGTTATTAATTCTATAAAAAGAAGGCTACGCTATTAATTAGAGTTCTCTAATAAGAGAGGGAGAGAGAGGGGGAATGCACATGTTATGTACACTTTAACCCTCGTATGTTATGAACTCAATCATTTATTAAAAGACGTGCCAACAAGCTACTACCATAGCTCTTCATTTTGGTCAAATCCATTTTATGATGAGAAAGTTCATTTTTAATAAGTCATGACTTTATTCCACATTGAAATGTGCATATATGGAGTATACATAAAGATGAGAGTCTATGGTATACTAATAAAATAAACCAAAGACTATAAAAAGGAATCCTTATAGAGAGTTATATTTATATATTTGAGTAATAAATTAACCTTGAATTAAATCTAAAGATGGAAATGTACGTAAAAAACTAATTAAATAAAAAAAGAATTTTCATTTTGGACATAGAGGTGCACTCGTAAAGAATAATTCATGCCTCTCTTGTCAAAATACTGTCATAAAAGTAACAACTAAAAATTATAGTTTATAGTCAGAGTTATTGTTACTATTTTTACTTAATCATCTCAGTCTAAGTACCATTATATTTAATCAAAATTTATGCACTTCCTTTTATTACATCAACTATCAAAGAAGTATAGAATTATCCAGTCAAAGAATTGTCAAAATTTTGCATGTAGAAAGAAGTTACAAATCCCATTTATTTGGTGTTATTTTATCCTTACAGTAATTGACTCCATTTTTAGATTTCATATACCTTTTCATGAAGTGAAGTGTGAAATCTTTCATCCTCCTAGAAAGAAAATGTCATCGTTGCATGTAGCCAATCCTAAGAAATATCATGGGCATCATGCTTTGCATCATACAAAAGACTAGTTCTTCTTTTTCTCTAATAGTTCTTGGCTTGTGTAGACTTACAAATTTTTATTATACAAAAGAAGACTTGCAATTTTTGTTGAATTTGCAGTTCACTATTCTTCTGAGAGCATGTCTTAGTCTTTTGCATGTCTTCTTTTCAAGTTTCATCTTGGACTTTTGGTGGATTCTTGAGTTTGTAATTCATTTTATTATAATGAGAGAGAGGAAGTTGATGACTTGGGAGTTGAAATGGCGATGACGTGTAAAATATTTATACACATGGAAAGGTAGTGAAATGAGTTTAGGCCTACAAATTATAACCCTCTCATCTTGTTAACTCAATGACCTTCATATCTAAGAAGGCTCTGATACCACAAGGAATAAATAACCAAGCTCTGATATTATGATGAAAAAATGACTAGGCTCTAATACCATGATAGTAGTTTGAGAATTGAAAAAAATGTTGTGTTTATTCTATAATCCTCTAATCCAAGTTGTTGTCATTGATTAAATATGTTTTACGGCTCTCTTAAAAATATGCAGATTGTATTGCCCTTCCTTTAGGATTCTATTAAAAATATATCATACTTGTTAAGAATTTCATACAAAAAACCTTTCAGGACAATAGAGGGGAACATGAAGAAAGCTTTGATTGCTTTGTTATATACTTTTACTTTAATGTAGTTATCTAAAATTCTTTATGAAAAGCAAAATTACTTAGGCAACTAGATATTTATTGTGATTAGTACGAAAAAAATAAATCTTTAGGCATTGATGTCTCTTGAAAAATACACAACTAATTCTTATAGATGTAAGCACTTTAATAAATGATTAGATACTCAAGAGTTTTTTTTATTTTTAATTTTCTTATATAAATTTTCCTCCTCTGCATCTTAGACATCAATTACCTTTGTGTATGAGAGAAGTCAAGATTTGATACCATGAGAAAAAAAATAACCCAGCTCCAATGCCATAAGAAAAGCTAGAAATTTGACAAAAAAAATACAGCTTGTTTTCTTTCAAAATTTTGAGAAGAAATGATGATAGTTATATTCAATGAGTCTTAAAAAATATTCTCATCATCAATATCATTATCATGCTCGATAAAGATTGCATTACTATGAGGCTTTTCATCTTGCAAATATGTCCAAAAGAGTAATTCTTTATTCTCTATTCTTGAAAATTTTCACTGTGCAATCATACAGTAGTCTTGCTCTATTTATTTTGAAAGTTCTTTTGTTTCATCCTCCTTCACAATGTCTTACTCATTTTTTTCATCTTAAAAATTTACTTTGTTTTCACTTGCTCCACATTTGGTCCTAAGCTTACACCACGTCACTTAGTATGCTATGGTTTCAGGAGTATCTATTGTAACATCCCTATTTTTAATCCTTTGATTTACTAAGATTAATAAGGATAATTAAGTAAGTTGATATGGTGTGTGGTCAGAGGAGAATAATAAGTATTTTTAGTTAGAATTTTAAATATAATTTAGGTTCAAAGTGAAATTAGGCCACTTAGGAAAAAATTGGAGAAAATAAGCTAAATAGCCTTCATGCCACATACCGCAATACATTGGGCCGTCAGGTGAGAACTTTCTTCTTTGTATCACATGCTGCAACGTGTGGGGACAGGCGTCGAGGCACACTGTGCAAAATCTATAGAATTAATATACGAATTTATGCAAAAAACAAAGAGAAAGAAAAGAGAGAATGGAAGAGACACATTAAGTTCTGTTAGGGTTTACTTGTGGATGACATTGGAAGTATTTTGACGGCTACAAACACCTAAGGTAAGTATCACACTCATTGATCCCCCCATTTCATCCACATCTATTAGTTTATAGTTAGGATTTGATAGTAAAAGTGTATTTTCGATCTATATGAGTTATGGGTCTGAATTTATTGACTCAAATAGAGTTAATGGAAGTAAATTAGAGTATTTAAACCTAGTATAATAAATCTTTGGTGTTTTGGGTTGTT